TGCCTTTTATTATTAAACGAATAATCCGATACAAGTACCAAAAAGTATTGACCTCTAGGGCTTACACCAACACCTACCCCATAGGAAGGACTGTTCTTTATCCTTACAACATAGAAACAACACAATCATAATACAAACTTTTTCAAACACATTAGAGAATAGATGTTAACCATCTTAAGTGAGATATAATCTCCACCTCCACAACAATACAATCAAACATGTAGGGACTTTGCCTTAAGAGCGATAAAGGCATACTTGGCGACCATCCGAGTATTTAAGACCTTTTCTTAAGACGATGCAAAGACCATTTCCTACAACCCCTCTTACATTTGTGGTGGTTATCTCTCCCTTAACATGAAGACTCGTCTCTTCTCCTAAACCCAATCAAAACAACTACCCTAAACCCGTAGGAACTTTGACCACAGTCAAAGAGCTCCTCTAAACCTTTAGGGGAACTACAAATACTCTGATTCCACTCCCGTAAGGATATGTAGGCATAAGATGCGACATCTTATCGAGTATACTTAGATATAAACCACTAGGGTCTCTAATCCCTTAAGCAGATAAACACATAGCAATAAACAAACATAAAACAAGAGGTTCCTGTAGAGTACTACAGAAACTTAGGATGCTAGTACCTTCCCTAAGTTTAACCAACCCCCGAACCTAAACAATCTAGCTTGCATTTGCATTGCATTGTGGGAATTTCAATCTTTATCCCTTCCTTTGGACAAATCAAAGTTCGGTTGCAAAATGAATATAAGATTCAAACTAATCAATAGTTTGGTATCCAAATTTCACCGCGACACTAAGTCTACCAACATGATCAAACTCACATAAAGTACATATAATGCTTTTCTATATGAATAGACACATATTTTTGATAAAATGCTTGACACGAGAGAATAACAAATGCATATGCGACACGATGATATTGTCCAAATTACACATTACTAACTAGATATGTTTTGAAATCACCAAAGCAAGTATTGATACAAATTTCCCTCATAAAGTTCACTTGTTATTTTGTTGCTTTATGTGGATGGCATCCTTATAGCAAGCAACAATGTCGAGGATGTAATGAAGATGAAGGTTGAACTCGATAAGGAGTTCGACATGAAGGATTTAGGAGCTGCCACTAGGATTATTGGGATTGACATCTGAAAAGATAGAAAGCAATCAATATCATGCTTATCTCAATAGACATACCTGAAGAAGATTCTCGACAAATTTGGTATGTTGAATTCAAAGTTTGTTGTAACACCGATAAATCCTCAACTCAAGTTATGGTCAACTCAAAGTCCTAGTACTGAAGTCGAAAGAGTCTATATGAATAGTGTAACACTCTACAATACTTTTAGGATTACTGACTGACCCCATAAACCAACACGGACCTTTTCAACATGCTTTGTCTTCACTCACAAGGTTTCTACGAAACCTTCTAGAAGGTCACCCATCAAAATACTACTCCAAGTTAAAACTCTTTAACAATGGAGTTGTTATTTGTTATGCTACAGAAAAGAAAATGCATCTTATTTTTGGTAGCCATACAAATAAAAGCTTCTTAGTTAAGAAGGTTTGACTTGGAGTAGTATTTGGATGGGTGACCTTCTGGGAAGTTTCCCGAAAAGTGTGGGAGTGAAGACAAAGCATGCTGAAAAGACTCGTGTTGGTTTGTGGGTTAGTCGCTAATTCTGAAGAAGTATGAGGCGTTACAAATGGTATTAGAGCTAGACCACTCTCAATACGATGTGGTTCAGGGACGAACTAAGTAGAAGTTGGTGGACATGTAACGCCCGAGACCAAAGAGAGTAAATAATGGATTTAACACTCGGAGCCGAAGAAGGCAGAAAGTGGTCGCTAAATTCACATCGGAATGAAAGGGATCCTAGGGTTGTGCAGGTATGAGACTGCATGTTTGAATAAAGGCTTATAAGGATTGATTGGTTCTATTAATACCAATAAGATGCATCTTTTTTTGTTAGCCTAACATATTAAGAACTTTGTAGTTTAGGAGATTTGACTTTGAGTAGTATTTGGATGGGTGACCTTTTGTGAAGTTTCTCAGGAAGCCTGTGAGTGAGGACAAAGTATGTTGAAAAGACCCGTGTTAATTTGTGGTGTCAGTCAGTAATCTTGAAAGCAGTCTTGAGCATTACAAATAGCATTTTGTATGTTAGTATATTATGTTCTTTGATATATGATATGGTTTATACGAGGCTAACCGTAGCGTACGGAGTGAGCCTTGTAAGCAGGTATATGGCCAATCATGAGAAAGCACATTGGAAAGCTCTAAAGTGGATTTTGAGATACATAAAAGGATCCCTGAGTAGGGTCATGGTTTATGATTGAACCATGAGTGATGACGAAGCCAATGTCGAGCAATTTGTTGACTCTGACTATGCAGGATGTTTGGATACCAAAAAATTTCTTTCTAGATATGTTTTCACTATGTTTGGTACATCAATCAGTAGGAAAACTTCTCTTTATAAGGTTTTTGCTTTATCAACCAATGAAGCTGAATATATTTCTCTCACTGAAGTTGTGAAAGAAGCATTGTAGCTTGAAAGGTTTATTAAGGAGCTGAAACTTCAAGGTCAAGTTATCATTGTTAAATGTGATAGTCAAATGTCATACAACTGTTGAAGAATTCAACCTATCATGATAGAACAAATCACATTGATATTAGGTTGCATTTCGTCAATAAGAAAAGTGAAAGTGGAGAAGTCAAAATGGTGAAGGTTTCGACAAATCCAATGCTACATATATGATCACCAAGTCATTGCCAAATAACAAGGACTTCCACTGTATGATGTTGATAAAACTACATGATAAAAGCTAGTTTGTTCCCTTAATGTTGTAGAGTTTGTTCGAAGGTGGAGATTTTTGGTATTTTGGATCTAACTGTAGTCTTGACAGGGATAACTTCATGTTCTGCCAGAAGTTGTGCATGTTGTAGTCGAAGTCTATTCAAGCATGCAAGAGTCAAAGTTGTGCATATTTTAGTCGAAGTCTGTTCTAGCATGCAGTTGTATAAGTTAGTTTGTTGCTTAAGTTAGTTTAGTGATTAAATTAGCTTGTAGTATATAAATAGACTGCTCTCTCGAGTTGTTGATAGATAGTTAAACATTGGTTGTTGTTATTGACTTGTAACTTTTTACCATAATTGAAAAAGTGAATAGAAAAACGATTTTAACTCATTCTTATTTTTCTTTTTCTCTCTTCTCTCTCTTTCGTAAAATTAAAAAAAAAATTCTTATATTTATTTTAAAAACTCAGTCTCATATTTTTTAATTAGTTCCTAGTGTGATATTTGTTCGAACATTTATCAATTTCTTTCCATAATCAATCACAACCTACAAGTCTTATGAGAAACTATTCATATTTGTTCTAAGCATTTTGAATCAAGTTAAACTTTGAAAGGATTGATAGACTATTTAATAAAATTAAAATATTAAAAGTTAATTTTTTCAATTGCTATTATAGTATCATTTTCTTGAGACAATAGTACCATTTTTGCAATGCATATTCTAGTCTATAGTAAAAAAAATGCATATTTTTTTCTCATAAACCATATAGCTATTGCGTTTTATTTTATTTTATTTTGTATAAAATATTAGAAAACCTTATTTTGAATAATTGTGAAATAAAAAATACACCTGCCCACGACTAGTGAGTAACACATGGAAATAATATAAAATAAGCAAAAATAAGTATGTTCACCTAATTGATATCCTCAACTCAAAGTCAATATGTTCAAAGATGAAACATGGGTCTCAATTAATATATAATTCCTTCTTCATCATGATAGCTTAAGTTTGAATGGACTTTGAAAGAAGAAAATAAGCATAAATCCACATAAGACCAATTGAATGGAAAACTTAACTTTCATATTTCACACTCAAAGAATTAATTAATCATGTAGTTGGTAAACTACATGTATATAGTTTGGGCAAACATGTCAATCCACCAAAAGATAAGCCAATAGCATAGATGGCAAAATGTATGGTACATAAACTCTTGGCAAATTTAGTTGACAAATTCTTTGGTGGCATGCATGTGTTACTTTTTTATTCAAAAAGTTTGAGTGACCTAACAGAAAATTCCATTGAATAATACAATGAGTCTTCGTCTAGGAAGCAACCATTTCATCATTTGTTTAATAAAAATAAATTCATATTAGACATATCTTATATACACTTACCTACTCATTGATCGGTCAAACCGAGTGAATAGAACTATAATGTGTGACAAAAGTTTTTTTAAAAAAATTTAACTCCGCCCAACAGTTTAGATTAATCACTCAAATTGAGAAGGACCATCATAAACAATATAGTTCTTAAAAATAATTAAAATTACTGCATTTTAAACTCAGAATCTTTAAAATTATGCATGTTAAACTCAGAATCTATAGTTAATTAGAATTATTGTTGTATTCAAGTTATTTATAATTGTGTGCGAGTGTCTGCGCGCTCACGTGGAGTAGAAAAAAAGAAATTGTTCATGAGAAATAGAATAGACACAAATGTTGCAGCAAAACAGAGAATGAAAAAACAAGTTATATAAATTGAATAAACAATAAGCTTAAAATTGAATCAGTTAAAATGTATCATGACCCAATTTCAGATTTTCAGAAATTAGCTGGAGCCTGATTCTACTATAAACCCTAAAATATAACCTAAACTTATTTTTATTTTTCTATGTAAACAATTTTCCATCTAACCAAAAACCAAAAAATCTACACCCTCTTAATCACCATGTTTACAATTATAAAACTATACAGTATAATCTTTCAAACACATTCGGATTACATGTTAAGTCAATGTATCAGCGACCATCTGTATAAAATCAGGCATGTCTGATCTTATTCAAATGATTTCAGATGCGTTGATCGCATGTACGACCATCCTGTTAAGATCTAACTTGTCTGATCTTATTCAGATGACTTCAGATGTACTTACCGCGTATAATCCGAGTGTCTTTCAAACCCTAAAAGAATGTTAAACATCAGCGCACTTCATCGGTGCGTAACCGAGTCTAGATTTCTTCATATCATAAAGTATATGAAAATTTTGCTGCTGATAGTTTCCAATAATCGAAAGAGCAGACCTAGGAGTCCCCAAAATAGCCAAACAAACAATATCAGATTCAATCTGTATAAAGTAATTCTCAACAGGAAAATCCCACATTGCTCCATCTGAGAACAAAATCCCAAAATCTGGTAACTCCATTTTCTCAATTCCTGAAACATTATAACATGGCTTTAGAGGAGGAAAGCCTTCAACAATTTCATAACCCTTAATCTTCTTCATAAAAGCTTCTTTAATAATCTCATAAGCCGGTTCAGCAAAATAAGTTAAAGTTGTTCCAGAATCAATTATTGTACCACCAGAACCTTCTTCTGATAAACGCCAAGTTTCTTCTGGTATACTCAACGCTTCGCCATCAACCATGACAGATTTTATCCCGACGTAATAAAATGTATCAACCGAATTCTCTTCGCCACCAACGAAAGAAGTGAAATTCAAATTCGGATGGCTAAGAAGTTCCTTATCCTCGCCGAATATCAACTTGCTACTAACACTCGAATCGCTGTTTCTATCCACGAGACAATACGAAAACGAATGACCATAGATAGATCGAAGCTGAGAAGCAAAAGATAAAGGTCCTCTCCCTAATCCTAACAAACCAGCAGCACCATGGAATAGTCCTCTATTCCAATGACCACAACCGAACATCACATTTTCGACATGTTTGAACTCTGAATTTCCTTCACTAGTTGTGAGATTAACCGTAAAAGTTTCCAATGCGAAATCACCGGTTGTGTTCGAACTATCACCGTACCAATAGAAATAAGGACAGGTTTGATTCTCATCTTTACAAGGCCTAGGTGGATCTGGTGATGAAACTAGTTTGCATCTAGGATCATGACAGGTTATATTCTCAAAAGAACTAGATTCTTTAGGATCATAAAATGGACCAGTTTGTTCAAAACAAGCAATACAAGGAACACATTGAATCCAATTAAGGTCACTACCAGTATCAAGTATTAGAGAATAATGCTTAGGTGGTGTACCTATAAACACATCCATGAAATACTCACCAGAGCCAAGACTCACTCCGGATCCCAAAGTTGCCACAAGCTGAGTCGAATATTCCGGCGCCACCGCCGCCACCGGAGCAACTGCTGGTTTATAAGACTGCTTTGAATTTGCTTTCTGCAGCCTTGAAACTGTGTTTTGGTTCTTCTTTTCAATGACCCTTGTGTGAAGAGTTTGGATTCTTGTCAAATCCTTTACAGTGTAATCAATCACTGATTTTCTTTTTGGCTCAATTTCATTGCTCATTGATATGTGTTTCAAGTGAAGCTTCACGGATTTTTTGTGTGGATTTGAATCTAGAAAAGCTTCATTTGATTTCATTGAAGTTCCGAATTTGTCTGAATTTGAGAAACCGCAATCAGTGTCCTCGGAAGAAGCAACAACGTTGAAACTAGGATGTTCAGGAAATTTTATAGCAGCAAGAGAAGATCCATTCTTCTTGAGACTATTGTGATTATGATTCACAGAAAAGGCTTCCACAGCAAAAGAACATAACACAAGTAGAATCAAACTAGAAAAAACTTTGAAAATCATAGCAAAAATTTATCTTTTTTCTTGAAAATCTGAGACCCAAAATTGGAAAGAGCAAAACTTTATCCAAATTTGAGGTAAACAAAAAGGGTGTGATTTGATTATGAAGTTTGTGTTCTGTGAAGGCTTTATTGGTAGTAGAGATGGAAACCAAATGTCAAAGGTAGTACAAAAACGCGTAACAAATTACAAAGATTTTAGTATATATTTTAAAGAAGGGTTTTTTCATGTCAGTTTCCTAAACTATTGTCTTTGTGATTGTGTGTCACGGTTTTTAATTTTATGTAACCTAGGTTGAATGTAACATGAAAAGTCAAAGGAAGTTGTTTTGTCAGCAATTTGAGGTAGTAAAAGGAAAGGAAAACTCTATAATAGTCGTTGGTCAGAGTTTTTGAGCTAAAAGAAGTCATGTTTTTCTTAGTGGTGAATGGAAGATGTGTCATGAGAAATTCACACCTGACAGTTGAATTATATAAGGAAATGGGTTTTTGTTTGTTCTTAAGGAAAAGTTATTCACTGAATTAGTCTTGTGTTTTCTGATTCTAGTATTATAAGTAAACTAAATTGTGTTTTTTTAGGATTAGAATAAGAGTACTTATATGTTTTTTTGAATTAATCTTAATAATAATTAAAAGCTAAACTAATGGTAAAATATTTAATACCGGTTTTAATTGGTAAAAAAATTGTCAATTTGCATGTTTGAATTGACTTTTACAAATTACAAAAACACTTATCGTCCACATTACCTAAAAAAAATTGATTTATTTATTTGAATTTCTTTTTTCAAATTTAATTCTTATTCTCCAAAATCAATTCTCTTAAAAAGATACGGTTCTATAAAAATCAATTAAATTCACAAAGTAACTATGATTTTCACATATTTTTCAAACTAATTCAATTTCAAATGAAAAAAATAAGAGGTGTCATCAATTCAATTGGCTACTGCATACATCTTGTAAGAGGTGTCGCTAATTGAATTGACACATCCATTTAAAAAAAAAGAGGTGTCTTCGCTTAGGGCTTGTACACTATTGTCAATTCAATTACTGACACTTCTTATGAAATGCATGCAGTCGTCAGTTGGATTGACGACACCTTTTAGTTTCAATTATTTTTGTTTGAAAGTGAGCTAGTTTGAGAAATAGTTAGAAACCATGGTTACTTTGGGAATTTAATTGAAAATGTTGTTATTTGAATAAAAAAATCATTCCATTTTTGCTTTCTATAAAAAATTATTACCATTTTGTTAATTATACATACAAAATCAATTTTGATAAAAAAAAAACGATCCAAACAATATTAGTTGATAAAAATCATTTCTATATTACTGTACTGATATAATTATATTAGGACTACGCAAAGGCAAGTTTACTAAGTCCGGAAGAAAAAGACCCACAAGAAACAATACAAAGTTTACTAAGGGTAGATGAATACCACATGTCGTCCAAAGTGTTGTTTTTAATCGTCCATTGGTCGCATCACACGCCAATTGGATGTAACACTCACTCATTGGTCGCATCACTCTCCCGTTGTATGGCTTGGGTTAAACCACCTATCACCCACATACGAAAAGTTAGGGATTGATGTGTTCTTAGGCACCAATGGTTGTTGGAACAAAATTGATTAATACCATATCCCTTAGGTTTTGATGATGACAAATTATTTAAAGAGCAGTTGTGTATTCTAACATTTGTTCAAGTATGCAGGATTATATCATTAAGAAAAAATGAAAAAATGCTTGAGGAATATGAATTTGAATATTATACTTTGGCTCTAAAGATCACTTATGAAGACTCTGCCTCTGATGGAGATCCAGACTCTAAAGAAGTCAACTCTGGAGAAAATCAGTCTATAGTGACCCTGACTCTGAAGCTTCAGAAGCCAAAGAAGAATACTCTTATGTGATCAACTTATGAAGAGTGAAGTTTGAAGGAAATTCATCCCCTGGAGCAGAAACTCTTCTACCAAGGCAACTCTGACAGACTTAAAGACTTTTTTTATCACACAAAGACTTAAGGTAAATCTCTTCCTTGGTACCTGAGCTTCAATAGATAATTTCTCTTGCAAAAAGGTGTTGTATGATGTGTCTAATCAAGTGCAAAGGTTAACTAACCTTTTGGTGAAAGTCATCAACATCTTTTTTTCTCTCTTCTCTATATAAGAAGCTGCAAACCTGAAGAAGATTAACACCATGCTGCAATACACCTCAAGACTCTGAACATTGATATTCAAAGAGAAGCTACTCTTTAAAATTTATTTGACTTAGAACATCTTAACATTGTGAATATTTTTAGAAGTTCTTAAGTTTTATATACTTTATAAGTTGTATTTTTTCTACACCTCTGATTGTATATCAAGTGTAGTTTTTACACAAATCTCTTAACAGTTTGTTATAGACTCAAAAGTATCTTGCTTGTGCGTTTGAGTATTTGAAGTCTCTCACTTGTGTGCTTAAGCAAAAGAAGCCTTTAGCTTGTGTATTAAAGCAAGGAAGTTTCAGTTTATGGGCTTGAGCAAGGAAGTCTCAAACTTGAGTGTTTGAGCAAGGAAGTCTTATACTTGTGTGTGTAAGCAAATGAAGTATCTTGCTTCTGGACTTGAGCATTTGTAATCAGATTTGATTATAGTGGAAATCCCTTAAAGAGTAAGAGGACTAGACTACTCTCAGGTTGTGAGAGGAACCATGATAACTACTTATATCAATTGTGCTTTTACTTTACTTGCTTCTGAACTATATTATGATGTTATCTTTTGTTTTCATCTAAGTCAGATTCTATTTTAGAACCTGATAATGAAATACAAGAGTTCAGACTCTGAGTGACTCAGACTCATATAATGAACTAAAAGTTCAAACTCTGATTTAGACTATGAACTGAAGGTTCAAATTCTGATCTAGATCAATCAGAAGCAAAAGTTATAAAAACTGTAAGAAAAGCCAACACAAATCAACCCCCTTCTTGTATTTTTCTCACCTTCAATGGTAAGGAGGCTCAGTCAAAAAGGGGAATTATGTTCTTCATATGAGTAGGGGAATAATTATTTTCGCTCATAATAGTGACAAAATCACCATTCTTTGGGTCCAAGAATCCAAACTCAATAGACCTCTATAAATATATCAACCATGAGGTTAAAAGGGGATATTCAATTGACCTAAGATTCATAGATACATAGCTTTTACCACTTTACATGGCCTTGCACTAACACCATCAACATCATTAAAACCCTCAAACAGCCCTACACGATTAAGGTTTGTCTCTCATTGTACTTTTTAGCAAATACAATTGACATACACATTAGAGCCCCGGTTAAACTGACCTTAGTCACTTTTGCATCAAACAATCAAGTTGTTATCCACATCTTCAACCCATATAAAATATGTTGTTCAAGCGTGTAGCGACTTTGACCAACAAAAATTCTAACAACGACCAAGACACCATAGTAGAGTTGTGTGTCGTTATGAATGATTTGTGCTGCCATAACCAGGATTTGAAAGACAACGTTATTCATATCCAATAACGTCGACAAGAGGCTGACCCCCTAAAAAGACAGAGTTTATTGACCCTTAACCTTTATCTAACAAAATAGGGGAAACCTCAATGCCATAATTTCAAGTTGTCATTGTGTTGCACCCCAACATTTGCCATCGCTTTTTAACTTTGACTGACTTTTGCTTCGCATTCATCTGCATATCATCTAGGTCGATCATTTCTCGCATACGGTTCATGTTATCAGCCGAAATGGGTTTATCAGGATTACAACCGCTTTGTTCGTGTTTTAGACAGTTTAAACCAGTTCAGATGAGGAGATTTATTTCAGAATCGGGTGAAAGGTTGTTCTCTTCCTGGTGGTTCAGTTTGTGCTGATAATTTTGTTGCATTTTAGTGCTTGCCCCTTTTTATTCGTTTTTGTGTCGTTTGTTGATTTAGGTTTATTTATTTATCTAGAATTTAGTTATTAGAATTTTAATTTAAGAATTAGTTTTTTTAGAAAATAGAATTTTAAGTTAGAAAATAGTTTTAGAATTTTAAATAGATTATTAGAATAGTTTTATTAGAACTATAATTTAGATATAGAATTTAGAATTTAGATTTTTTATTAGAGTTTAGATTTTAGATTTTAATATTAGAATATAATTTGTTAGAATTAGAATAGAGTTTTGATTGAGAAATTAGAATCATTTTAGTTTAATTAGATTAAAATAGAATTTAGAGTTTAATTTAGGACTTTTATTAGAATTTAATTAAATAGTTTTTTATAATTTATAATTTAGAATATAGAATTTTTAGATTAAAATTAGATTTAAGTTATTTATTTATTTAATTTTTAATTAGGATTTAGTTTTAGAATAGAATTAGAATATTTAATTTTTGTTAGAATTTTAATTAGAAATGGATTAGATTTAATTAATTAGCTTTTGATATTAGAATTAGTTAGTTTTTAATATAACTTAGAATTAGCATAGATTTTAGATTAGAATTAGTTTTTTAATTAGAATTAGAAATTAGTTTAGAGTTTTATTAAAGTTAGTACATATTTAATTAACCAACAGAAAAGGACAAAAAAAAAACAGCAAAGCAGCAAGCTGGCCACGTGTCCAGCGTATAAAGCCCCGATCACTGTTGATTTTCTTTTTCAGGGAGTAAGACCGAGAAATCCTAGCCCCCAGAATGTTATTGTTCATCATCTCTAACTTTGTAAGACAACCCTAGCGGCCGCCCCCCCTTTCCTCTATTATTCATCATCATCAAAATTCGAAAAAACAAACGCAACAACAAGTTCTTTTTCCATTCTCCTACATCACAATCACCCCAAAACAAAGCCCATTCTTCTTCTTCTCAAAACATCTTCACTTCTCCATCTCCTTCTTCTCCCCTTCCGTAAATCCATCCAACCTTCAAACCCTTCTAAACCCATCCGAAAACTGATCGCGACTTTCTATGTCTAATACAACTAACTGTAAGTGCACAGTCTATCGCGTAGTAATAATAGATATCGATCCCACA